CTTCTGGGCCACACCAAGGGGTGGGGTGGAGAGCTGCCCGCATGTCTGACCGAGGTTCATTCTCTTCCACTGCTTTCTGAAAACCCGGAACGGATGTCCGGGTGATAAGATCGGACCCGACCCCCACGGGTGCAGTGTGAGGTGGGGGACAGGGGTAGGGTCGCGCCACGCCAGGCCTGCGCGTCAGTCCCCACTCCCTAGCCCGACCCCTCCCCCTTCCCCCCCTCCCCTCCCCTCCCCCACTCCCCTCCCCGGATCGCCAGCGGTCCCACTAGGTGTCCGTCGAGAGGGCGGGCTGCGTCTAGGCGCCCACTGCGCAAGGCGGGGCCTCCTGCGGTGGGAGGGCGCTGCGGGCAGTCAGGCCTGGCTGACACCGGCCTGAGGCTGCTGCCCGAGTACCCGGACCCCAGCCCGGCGGGGCACGGAAGGGCCCTGAGCCTCAGCGCCCGGGCTGGGCTGGCCACGGCGGGACCAGGCGCCCACGCGCAGCGGCCGCCCCCGGTCCTCCCTTGCCGGCCCGCTTCCGCTGGCGTGTTTCCCCGGGAACCCCCGCAATGATGCAACGAGGCGCGAACCCAGCCCGCAGCCACCTGTCGCCAAGCGCTTCCAAGAAGGTCGTGGCCAACTACGCACGCGCCGCGCCCACGTCCCTGAAGCCTCCGGCTTTACGGGCAGCGTCACCACCCGCGTCACCGCTGCTCCCGGAATGGGGGCGGGGGGGCGACGGGGCGGGGAGAGGACGCGGCGGGGGGGTCGTGGACGGCCTCCGGCCTCTCCGCGCCGCGCCCGCCGCCGCGCCCTCTGCGGGGAGAGCCCCTCCGGCGTTCCCGCCAGTCCGCTTCCCGGCAGGTCCCCGCCCCCTTCCGGCCCCGCCCGCCGCCGTCACGTGCTGGTTGTCGGCGGCCGCCCCCGCCCCCGGCTGCGGGAGCGGGAAAGCTGGGGGCGGGGCGAGGCCCTTCTGGGGGTGCGGCCTGGGGGAGGGGGGCCCGCTCTCCTGCAGACCCCCGGCAGGCCCGGCCGGGACGCTGGGGTCCGGGGTCGACCCCTCCGAAGACAAGGTCGGGGGGCGCTCTGCGGCCCGCAGGCACCAGTGGCACTGCCCTGGCCCCGGCTGCGAGCCCCGGGCCTTCAGGGGGGAGCGGGGGCCGTGGTCGGACACTCATTTACAAGGCGGCCTCAGAGCGCCTCCCTCCGTCCCCAGCCCCACGGGGAGTGCGTGCACTGAGACACCGCCCTCCCGTCCCCGGACCACCGTTTGGTGGCCGAGGGGCCAGAGGTGGCCAGGCTGGCAGGGAAGTCACCTGAGGCTAATCCCAGGAGGGGAGGGCCTCTGGAAGGTGGGCGCCCCAGACTCCACACTCGGGCGGCGCCCCTTTTCTCTCACTGGTGTGGAGCCACTGGCCCCGCGTCTGGGGTAATCCCAGCGGCAATGACGGCTTTGAGGGTCCCTGCACTGGGTGGGGACACAAGGCCTCGATGGCAGCTTGCCCCGCAGTGGCCTGAGGCTGGTTCCCCTGACTGCCATGCAGAGACCCGCCAGCATCGCTGCCCACAGGACAGAGGATCTCTCTGCCACCGGCCTCCCCACCTCAGGGTCCAGTGCCCCCTCCCCACTGACACGCTCCCACCCCAGGGCCCATTGGGCTGGCTGTGGGTACCAACGAGAACACAGTGCCACCAGGCCCCACCCACAGGCCTGCCTGTCTGCCTGGCCCTGGGACCCAGTGGGGGTCTAGGAAGGCCTGTCAGGGGGCCTGTGTGAGCTGAGAGTTGTGGGACCCCCCAGGGTGACCATGCCAGATACCCTGTGACCCTGTAAGTGGACACAGGGCAGAGGAGCAGCCCTACTGTTTGAGGGCTGCTGGACACAGCCTTGCAGTGGACGCTGACCCCCAGAGGCTGGAAGCGTCACTGACACCTGTGTGAGAACGGGCAACTCCCAGGGCCCTGGGAGCACATGGAGTCCTGGCCAGAGCCCAGCCCGTTCCCTGGAGTGTGCACACCTGCCCTGTGATCCCTCCAGGCCCAGATGATGCCCTCAACGGTGGGCATCTCTTCCTTGGCCATGATGCAGACAAGCCTAACGCAAGCCCCTGCAGCCGTCCCCGAACAAGCCAGTAAGATGAGAACAGCATGACCTGATTAGTGACACGAACAAAGACCTAAGCATGCGAGGCGGTGGCCTGTCTCCACGTACCCCACCAGCCTGACCACTGCAAAGGGCGGGTGACAGCTCCCGAGTGGCAGCCAGGTGTGGTGTCTGCTAGAACAGGATCCTACGGCCTCAGGTGTGTGGAGTGGCCACAGATGGGGTACATTCTCCCCCAGCCCCACTGGAAGGAAGGGCAGAAACAGTTCACGTTCACTTGGAGTGGACACACGGTCCCTCCCCAGGCTACAGTTACTCTGCAGCCCCCCAATGCCTGGACGGCTGCACCCTGTGAGACAGCACGCCAGACAGAATGGGCCTGTATCAACGAGCCCATGCTGGTCAAACCAGAAGACTGAAAAATGGCAAGCGCACTTTGTAGTATAAGTTTGCTCCATGGAGAGGCGGGCCTACACAGACACAGGGCCCCCCAAGCAGAGGACAAATGGCCGTGCCTGCTCGGCCACGAAGAAGCACGGGGCCTGTAAGGACAGCTGGCTTACACAATGTTTGATGCTGTTGCAGGAACCCACGTTAACAGCACATCAGTCCGAGAGAACCACTTACAGCAAGCCCGGCAGGTCTGGGTGTGACCCAGGGGCCCTCACTGTGCCTCCAGAGGCTTCTAGCCAGTGACGTTCGAGCACCTGCTGAAAGCCAGGTGGAAGGCCCTGCTCTGCGGGACTGGAAGCCATCCCAGGACCTGCTTATGGTGCTGTGTCTGTCCGCAAAGGATGACACCCGGGTCCAGGACACGAGGCCGAGGCAGGAGCAGCCTGGGCTGTGAGCTCATGCCCTGCAGAGCTGGGGTCCCAGCTCCCCCAAGGCACAGGCAAAGAGCCCGTGGTGCCTCCCAGCCCCTTGTGCCAGGGCCCAGAGGGCAAGCAGAAATGCCACTGGGGACAGGGGTCCCGGACCCTGACAAGCAGGAGGGCCAGGCTGCCTGACTTGGGGACGGCGACGAAGGTGTTTCTGCCCTGTGACCACAAGGAGACGCGATGAGGGGTCTGAGAGGCGAAGAGTGGGTCATGGCGGGCGCTCAGACCCACAGCCCCGCACCCTGGGTGCGATGCGGGAGCAGCAAGCATGGCCCCTGGCTGAGCGGGGATACTCCGAGTGTCACTGGCTTGGGCTCCTGGAGGTCTCTGGTGACATCGTGGTGGCCATGTGTCCTGGCCCCCACCTCCCGTTCTGGTCTTGAGAGCACGACACTCCTGCCAGTTCTGGGGGGTGGTGTCCTGGTGTCAGGTGTGCTCCCCTGCTACCTCAGCCCTCCCGGCCCAGGGATGTCACACGGCTGTGCCCTCCGTGCTCTCGGGACCCTGGCCAGGGCGCAGTCTGGGCAGAGGGGCCCTGGAGTGGCCCCACAGCGCCACCTGCTGGCCACGCCTACTCAGGCCCACCGAGACGCCAGACCTTCCGGATGCCCATCTGCTTGGTCCAACCTGGGGCTGGAGGGAAGGCCAAGGGGCCTGGGCAGAGGGCACCGCCAGAGGCAAACCAGGTCATTCTGGCGCTCGCACTGCCCTTTGGGGAAGGGGCACTACAATGATGGAGCTGGGGGCCTGATAAGGGTCCCGGGGCAGAATGGGGCAAGGGTCAGTGGGATATGCTGGGCCTGGCTACAGCTTGTTGTCCACATGGAGACGAGGTGCCAACCTGGCCGTGTCCCTCCCTGGCCACCAGGCCCTGAGATACCCATGGAGGTAGCCTAGGGTGGGCCCGTGGCACAGCAGGGGGGCAAGGTAGGACCCAGCATGGGGGCCACAGCAGAGCCAGCTGAGACGTGAGCCAGGCCCAGCTGCAGTGTTCAGGCTGGGAGTCCTGCTTCCGAGTGTCCAGGAAAATGGGGTGGCAGCCCAGTGACCAGGCTGCACAGGGAGACAGTGCTACGGCCTGCACGCCCAGTCCACCACCTGTGGTAAAGATGCGGGACCCTCTGGGTTCCAGCTGGAGGAGGGAGTCAGTTCTTCGCCTGGGCCACACGGCCCCCCTTTGGCATCCTAGGCCTGAGCCCCATGTGCTTGACCAGGCCAAGGGGACCAGTGGCCTGGCCTCCTCTGAGGGCCCGCACGGACTCCCCATGCCCTGCCCCTCCCACCTGTCCCCGCATAGCCTGGCCAGATGTGGCTTCTCCTGTTCCCATCCTGAATGTCGTCTCCCCAGAGCACCTCTGCCAGGGCGTCCCCAGCAGGCCTCTCCATGCCCACTCACCATCAGCACCTCACCCAGTGCCAGGCCCCACCACACCCACCCAACACCCTCCCCTGGGCCTCGGTTCCCAGGCCAGCCCTCCCTCTCACCCCTCGCCCTCAGGGTTTCCTGGGGACCCCGGGTAGCAGGGCTCCATCCTCCCTGCAGACCCCCCAGCCCTGTCCCCTCACCTCCCCTGCTGCTCACTTCCCTCCACACCACGGCCACAGCTCCCCTGGTGAGGACCCCTGCCACCCCCATGCTCTGCCCGACAGCCTGCCATGTGGCCTGGTTCCAAAGAGGGGCTCCCTGATAGGTGTGGATGGGATGGGGGCAGCCCCACCTTGTCTGCACACTCTGCTGTTGAGCCAACTAGACTCAGTGTCCCACCAGGCCTGAGTGAGACCCGGGGGCTCCACACCCCCACCACGGAGGTGGAGATGGTGAGTGCCAGAGGCGCAGCCAGGGCCCAGGTGAAAGGGCCCACCTCGGGCCAGCCGGGCATGGGCAGTGGGGTGATGTGGATGCCATGGATGTCTGCACTAGGACAGGAGATGGGGGGCCGGCCCCGGTGACACTCAGGTGAAGGCGGGGTGCAGGCAGGGGAGCAAACCCACTCTAAGGCGTCCACACCTGTCCAGTGACACAAATGCACATGTTCTGTGCCTGTCTACTACCTCCGACGGTCAATTTTATTACAAAGAATGGTATCAAAATATACAAATCTGCTTAAGAACCACCAATAAATGCAGCTTTTTTAAAAGGCCAAATGAGCATGAACCATTCTGAAGACAGCTGTTCCCTCCAGCCACCCGGAGAGGGGGGCTGCGTGCACAGGGCAGCAGCCCCAATAATTTACAGGGCAGGCCAGGCCTCTCACTCTGGACGCACATTATAAATCCTCATGGGAGGGCGGCTGTGTTGGGTCTTCTTCTGTGACTTCTGTCAGAAAATGAACAGATCATTTGGCAAAATCCCAGCAAGAGGCCCCGAGAAAGTGGCCGCAAGGTTTTTATGGAACAAGGTGGGTGTGTGTGCAAATGACCTGGCACGGTCAGGCCCTGGGGGATGGCGCGGCCTTTCAGGGCTCAGCGTGTGGATGACAGGAGGTCGGGACAGGACGAGACACAAGCCTGAGCCTGGCAAGGGGGCTAGGGGGCACCCAGGCAGCGCCAGGCAAAGGTGCCATCCTCCGTCCTCTGCCGGCCCTCAGGCGTGTTGGCCATCCCGGTGCTCCATGGTTTCCTGGTCGTCTGGCTGAGTATGTGCTTTTCTGCACCTGCTCAGGACTAAGGGGGCTCTGGAATCTGAGTCGCACCCTATTCGTTCTGGGAGCTCTTAGCCATTGTCTGGTTGAACACTGCCTTATTCAGTCTCCCCATATTCTAGAACTTCTCTGAGACTATTATGGGAAGAATTGTATCCCCCAAAAAGCCAAGCTGATATCCTAACCCCCAGTATCTGTGACTGTAACCTTGTTTGGAAATAGGGTGCTTACAGAGATCAAGCTGACAGGAGGTCACTGGGGTCCGTGCAAGGAGGGAAGCGTGGACACCCCCCCTCCAGGGCGGAGGCCACGTGAGAACACAGACTGGAAGGATGCGGCTGCAGCCAAGGAGGGCCGGGGTTCCGGCCCTGGAGCCGAGCCAGGGCGTCTGTGGGGTGGAGCTGCCTGTTCTGTGGGGCTTTGCTGGCTGCCCAGGATGCTCGCGCAGAGACTGGCCAGTTAAAGGGACGGCTCAGTGGCACGTGGCAGGGTTATCTGGGTGGCTCCCCACCACTCCACAGGGTGTCCTGAGGGCGGGGCAGTCACCTGGCAGTGGGGATGGGCTGGCCCCATTGTTTTGGACACTAGGAAGCAGGACTCTCCACCTCCCGCCACATCTTTCTCTGCAGCTGTCTGGGTGGTGACTGTGCTGTTGTCCATCTGCTCTGAGTTGCATCCCTACCTTCTATCTGTGCAGTGACCCCCTCCAGGACTTTGTTCCACAGAGAAGTCTACCTTCTGACCTCCCAGGGACCCGGCTATCACCATCCCAGAGCTGCATCTGAGTGGACATCTCCGCTTGGAATCCCTGGACCAAGTGGTCAGTGTACACGCAAGCCGCACGCCAGAGGGCCGCTCTGCACGTCTCCCCTCCTGAGTCCTGTGGGGCGCCTTGCACCACTCACCGTTCCCCACGGCCTGCGTCTGCACACAGGCATCTTCTGTTTCTTCGAAGCCTTCAGGACACACACAGACGTAACTCCCAGGAGTGTTGTAGCAGTTTTCGTTTTTCCTCACACATGCTTTTTCCGCAAGCGAGCACTCATCTATGTCTAAGACAGAAACAGTCCCGTTTACGAAGTTCCCTCATTTAGCAAACACGCTCATCGCAAATTTTGGGGTTCTCCCTCAGGGGCAGGAAGGGCTCCTTCTGGGGCTGCTCACGGCTGTTTCCTCTGGAAGGTTCCCCAAGTCCAGCACAGACACACCACACTGACCTGTGCACTGGCCGCTCTCCTTGGTGTAGCCAGGGATGCACTCCTCACAGTGTCCTGGACCCTGCCCCGTGCAGCCCACACAGGTGGAGTCACAGTCTGGGAACAAGAGGGACCAGATGAGGACATCACTGCACCTCCCGTGCGACCGCTGGGGTCACGTATCACCGGGGTGCTTGTCTCCCGGATGAGCACAGACCCGCAGCAGGGAGGGAGCAGCCCTTTGGCAGCAGCCCTTTGGCTGAAGGGCTTTTCTCATAATAAACCCACCTCAAGGGACATCACTGCAAACGTGCAAATACTGGAAAACACCCAGTGTGGTCGCAGACACACAGAGGGCACCACTCTGGGGTGCATGGCCCTAAACCCCCACTCCCTCCACCCAGCAACCTGGAAACTCATCCAAAGGAAATAAGTGAATGCGAAAGCTTCACCCACAAGGTATTCAGTTTGTGAGCAAGAGGAAAGTGGTTCGTTGAAGAAAACCATGAAACGCAGTGCTCCAAGACCACTGCTGCCGTGATGCAGAAAAGCACCACGGGCCAAGAGGGGCACAGCCCTGTCGGACTTAGGCAGCACGGGTAACAGGTCAGCGTCAGCAGTAAGACGTCTACAGGGAGTGTGTTAAAGCCGCTAACAGGTTCCCTCTCTGTGGGCTCGATGGGGTTTCTTATCATCTTTGGCTTGTTCGAGTTTTCTGATGTCCCTGCAGCAAATCTCAATCACTGTGATCAAGATTTTTTAAGTAGGTAGAATGTACAGAAACCACGGTGGCCGTGCACAAACACAATTCCAACACAGAAGAGGGGTCTGGGGGCTGGGAGGCACCCGCCCGGGAGCCCACCCTGCACCTTCACAGGTGAAGGAGCCGTCAAGGTTCTGGCAGTACTGCGCGTCGCTGCAGGGGGGAGTCTCCGCCACGCACTCGTCCACATCTGGAACACAGCAGCACAGATGTGAGGCGCAGAGTCCGCACTGCCTCCAAGACGCACCGCGGCCAGGGCTGGCCAGAGAGGAAGTGACCTCCATGCGGAGGCTCGTTTGCACAGCTGTCCTCAGAGGCCTTGGTGGGCAGGGGTGGGGACAAGGGATGCTTAGAGCCACCAGGGAGGGGCCGCCTGAGGGCCCCGTGGCTCCTGCGCCTTGCACAGGCCCCACACTGGGGCGGGGAGCTACTATGTCCCCACTCAGGGTGGGACATGAGGCTTGCGGCCGAGGCCCCTGGTAGGCCAAAGGCCCAGCAGGTGTGAGGAGTAAAAACAAAACAGATGCTACGGTGGGTGGAGGGCAGCCTGGCCTCCACCCGCCACCCCACCGCCCACCTGCCAGCCCGAGGAACCGCAGCCTGAGGAAAGGATGCGCCAGAAGCAGGTGGTGGTCGCCAGGCCTGCTGGAAGGGGCCGGGCAGGGAGAGCTGCCCACTGAGGGCAAGACCTCAGTCTCCCCTGTGTGACTGAACACCATCAGGTCCCGCTCGCCCTGGCCTGCGCCTAGTCCCATCCCCACCACAGAGGATGCCCACACCGTCTCCAGCGCCTGCTTATGGGCCAGAGGCACCCCCATCCCGCCTGTGTCTCGAAATCCAGGCCACAGGCTAACGCTACTGGGCATATGACCCCAGTTCCTCTCCCAAGGCCTGAGCCCACAGGTGTCCCCCACCCCACCCCAGCCACCCGATGGCAAAGAAGGCTGGTGCAGGGCCACCCTCTGAGCCTAGAGCCAAGGCTGTGGAGGGAGTGAAGGAGACCAGGCAGGCTTCCCCTGAGACCCACACACCGAATCCAGCAAACAGCCTGCAGGCCCCATGCCCGCAACCTGTTAAAGCATAACCTGGGCCACAGAGTCCCCCCCACCCCACATCCAGAATGCAGCAGAGGGTGCCGGCAGGGTGTCAAAGGGAGCCCACTGGGGAAAGGGCCTGAGGAGGGCCGGGGCCACATAGACCCTACAGGGGATGGGCCGTCCGCCTTACCCACACAGGCGCCGTCCTCCCGCACCCAGCCCACTTCGCACTGGCTGCAGTCTCTGCTGGTCGGGCCCGAGCACTTATTACAAGACTTGTCACAGGCTGGAAGGCAGGGGAAGGACATCTGTCAGCATGCGCGACTCCATTCTCCGTACCCAACACCATGCAAAGGTCACTCCAGAAAGTAGAAATTTACACTCAGCAGAATAAAAACAAAAACCAAGAGCAAGAAAAAATTCTAGGAAAACAAAAGTTATTCAACAACGGAAAAATCTGTCCATGCGGTTCATAGAATTCCAGACTGAGCAAGAAAAAACATATGTAGGGTTTTCAACCTCCCCTGATGATAGAACCCGGAGCCAACGAGGACAACACAGAACTTTCCATAACCTGGCAAAGGTTGCCACCCACACACTGGAGCTCTGGCTGGGCGAGCACGTGCCAGCCGACCCGGGTATGCCCCACACTGCACCTATGTCCTGGGGCCAGGGAAAGGGCCCCAGGGCGAGCATCAGAGGGGCCACAGCCTCACTGGCACTCAACACATTCACTCTAGAACATCCGAGAGAGCTTCAGACTGACCACCGGCTCTAGTAAATATCCAGTGCAATTTCTGAGGCTAAGAAAAAAATTTCCTCTGCATCAGTGGTAACAAAGGAGAAAACGCGCTGAGGACGCCCTTCAAATCGCCTTCCTGGATTTACAAATCAGTGCCTGTGCGAGCCCTGGGGGGCACTGCCCTAGGCCCTCAAGCTGGGTGGGTGCAGCACCGTGGGGAGGGTGCGGCCGGGCCATCTGGACTGCCAGTGTCCATCACCGCCGAGAAGGTCCTATCTGCAACAGAGAGGTCCCTGGGAAACTCACACAAAGGGTACTTAGAATATTGGCCTGGACTCTTCAAAGTCCCTGCCTTACCCAACAGCAGGCAACCAGATGGCGTGTGCTCCAGGAGGGGACCTGGGGGCCAGGGGGACACACCATGTGGCCTGCAGTGTCCTGCTCCTCACAGTGTCGTGGGCTGGGATTCAGCAGGGCCTCTGCTCACTCCCAGGCACCGAGTCTGAGTGACAGCAGGTACATCGGGCCCCCGTGACACCCAGCAGGGCACCTGGGGGCTGGCCACCCTGCTGGGATAGCTGCCAGGTCACAGCGTGGACAGAACAGAACTGCTGATCCCACACTTTCCACCCTCTGAGTCCTCCTCAGAAGGACGTCAGGACAGAGGGACTCATTCCTCCCTTCTATGGTAGTCTAGGGACGGGATGCGAGACCACCCGTGCTCTGCAAGGCTCATCAGTCCCATTTTACACGTTTCCTAAGGGCCAGCGCTTTCTGGGCCCGAGGCTCCGTTTTGTCGGGGCAAGAGGGGGCCAGGCCCCCAGTCCTGGGCATGCTGGCAGCTTCAGGGGAGGGCTGCTCCCTCGGACAGGGGCAGTACCTGTGCAGACGCTGTGCGTCGCGTTCCTCAGAGAGCTGAAGTAGCCGTCCACGCAGTCGGTGCAGAGAGGCCCCCTGTAGCCCACGTGGCACTGGCAGGACCCATCCCCCTGTCTGCTGCCGTCTCCACTGCAGTGGCCGTTCCCGCTGCAGGGCCTCCTGGACCCACCCTGGCACTCTGTGGGGACACATCCATTGCTCAGAGTGCCCCGGCGGCGGCCAGGGCCATGTTCTCAGAGAAAATGTCACTCGGTTCAGTCCACACATTCATAGTCAAAAGAGCCTTCTGGACCTTTTGCTAAAATCCGAACCCTACTTTACCCCTAAAATAAGCAGGATTCTCCCGCAGGAGTGCATGAGTGTGGTGGGGGTATCTGAAGGACTGTGACCTGCTGGGGTTTGCAGGCCAACTGCGTGGGAGCAAGCGGTGGACCATGGGAGGCCTGAGCCAGAACACGGCAGGAGGAACAAGGACGCCTACACGCGGGTGTGTGGAGACTGCACAGGGCAGCGGGAAGACACCACTGCGGCCCAGGCCGGACAAACGCAGGGAGGCAGGCAGGAGGCAGCTGCAGCCAGAGCGGGCTGTGCACGGAAAGCGTGCTGCTCTGTCTGGGAGATCACACAGACGACTCTGCAGCGGCCGGGTGGCACAACGTACACCCTTCACAGAGGGGCCCTGCTTCACCTGCTCAGCTGAGTGCCACATGCCCAGCTGGGCAGATGGCCATGGCCCCTGCCTTTGTCACGGGTGTTTGCTGTTCTGAGAGCAGAGCTGAGCCGGGGGCCACAGAGACACAGAGGCTGCCTTGCTGCACTCAGAGGGCATCTCCCCCGGCCCTGACAGGTGGTAGGATGTACCCACAGTGGGCCTACCTCTGGCCTGAGGACCCCAGAGCTGGAAATGCAGTTGGGGTCATTCGGCTGTATGGCCCTGGGGTCCCTGCTGTGCTTCTGCCCACCTGGGCACCACACAGGGTGACAGGAATGATGAGGACACTTGAGACTTCTCCAACCAAAACCTACCGAGGCAGTCTGGCCCATAAGTTCCTGGAGAACAGCAGACTTTCAGCGTTTTCACACAAAACCATTCAAATAAGTCAGGGTGCTCTTTCTTCCTAAGGATTAAAGAACATGTCCATTAAATCTCACTGGACAGGCTTCTTCACAGCACAGCCTATGCAGTACTTCCTCCCAAATCACAAGATTTTTCTTAGTCTGAAGTCATTTCAAAATTTTAAGTTAAAAAGAAATTACTTGTGACAGTTTCAAGGCACACAGGAGGGTCAGGGGGCACACAGACAAGGGTCAGGGGCACAGAAGGTGGAGGCAGCACACAGGGGAGGGGTGCAGGGCACAGGGGGTGGGCACGGGACACAGAGGAGGGGTGTGGGGCACACGGGAGGGTCAGGGGGCACACAGGTGGGGTGTGGGTCGCACGGGTAGGTCCGGGGCCACATGGGAGGGCCAGGGGCACACAGAGGAGGGGTGCGGGCACTCACAGCTGCAGCCACCAGGCCTCCAGCTGCGCCTCGTGCTCCTCCACCATGCTGTTGCAGTCGAAGTCGCTGGACCCGCACAGGCTCTCCACGATCTCCAAGAGGCGGACCTCGCTGAGAACAAGGCCTGTCAGCACCGTCGGCCAGGAGAGGGCATGCCCTGGCCACCAGTGTCCAGCCTACGGGGATGTCCTGAGGCCCCACCTGGTGCCAGGCCAGAACGAAGGTAGCACTTAAAAAGACCCTCAACAAACACGTCGGCTGGATGAGCTGGTGCTGCCCAGAGACTTCTCCGTCCTCGGAGTGTCCGGCCGCCGGGTATGGGGGCCATGGGGGAACCCGGAAGCGGGGGTTGGAGGCTAATCCCACCTCCAGCGCCAGTGTGCCCACCGTGTCTGGGGCATGGAGAGTGGGGGCAGGGACACAACTGGAAGTCAAAGGCCAGTGAGGGGCCAGTGTTAGTCCCACGCCAGAAAACTGGTGACCACACAGAACCTCCTGTGCATCTGCCATCAACGTGGGGCACGTCCAGCACCAAGGGCGGGCTGGGGGGCTGCTCAGGGCAGGGCGGGGGCACCCACCTGAATTCATACTTGGACAGCGTCTTTTCCTCCCAAGCGGTGTTCCCTCCACCGAAGTTCTTCTTTGCTGTGTCCACCATTCCCTGTGGGGAGAGGGTGGGCGTGGGCTCAGTGCAGCTGCCTCCACACCGGGCTCCCCGCGGGTGACCCGCCCACGGCGGTGACCCCGCCCCGCGGCCGGCAGCCCACCTGGTTGAACTTGGCCACCAGCTCCCGGCAACGCTCGCAGGGCGCCGGCTTCTGGGCGGCCTCGCCCGGCAGCAGGAGGAAGACCAGCAGCCCCAGCGCAGCCGGGACGGGGGCGCGCATGGCGGGCCGAGGCGGGCAGCAGCCGACGGACCGCGGAACCGGCAGAGCGCGCGGCCCCGGGCCGCTCCCGCTCGGCTAGCCGGCGGCTCCCAGCTCTCCGCGTCGGCGCCGGGCGCGGCCCCGCCCACCACCAGCCTCGCACCGCGATTGGCCGGCGGGGCCGCCCCGTCCTCACGTGGCCCAGTCGGGGCTCGCCACGAGAAGCGACCAATCGGAAGGCCCCGGGTCAGCGTCCCGGCGGGAGGGGGCGGGGACACGGGGCGTGGAGAGCCGAGCCCGCCTCGAGAGCAGCCGCGGGTGCCCTCTCTACTCGGGGTGGGCGGAGCGCCCCGTCCCGGCCGCGGCCGCGCTCTGGCGGCCATGCTCGCTTCGGGCGAGGGCTTCGCCTCAGGCCTCGGGTTCCGGCACCCACTTCCGGCCGAGGGCGGCCATTGGAGGCTGCGCTGCGACGGACGCCGCCGCGGTTGCGCGAGGTCAGCGTGCGAGGCTGCGGCCGGGGCGGGGACCCCTTCGCGTCTCACCCTCGTGTTGTCGCGGGACGGCCACCGGGCCCAGCCGCCCGCGGTCGGGCTCCTCACCGGGGGCCTGGGGCCGCGCTGGGCCCTGACCGCTTGTCTTCGGGGGCCCAGGAATCTGCATTTCTCCGCATGCCCGCGTGACGGGCCCCGGAACCAGAATGAGCGTTACCTGGGCTCTGTAGGACATTCCTGCCCGAAGGTGTCTCTGGCCTGATTTGCACCAGAGCACTTGTGTTTCCAGCCAAAAGATCAATAATTTGAGTATCTGAGCTGGCCAGTTGCAGCACAGGCCTTAGAATCCGAATTGACAGGGCTTAGAGGGAGGGCCGGTGCAGACAGACGTCCCTCGCCCCGCGGGGCGCCGGGGGCGCGTTGACCGGGGCCTCCCCGCGCGCTTAGAGCTGCTGCCGCCGTCCCAGTCGCTGCTTTGCCCGCCGGTGCCGCGCGGTCCCCAGCGGAGAGCACGCCCGCGTCTGGGTGAGAAGTCCCTGGGCCTGGAGGGGCTCCTGGTTGTGCACGCCCGTTTCCACCTCCCAGCTTGGGAGGGAAGCGGAGTATGGATTTTCCTGCAGGTGGGCAGGGCCTGGAGTGGGGTCCGTGGGGACCCCACCCCCCCCGTCCTCAGCTGACCCGGGACAGCCGTGAGCTTGGCTGCGCGAGTTCCCAGCACACACATCCAACGGTGTGGTTCTAGAGACGCTTCCTACTTCTTTAAACCCTTTTTTTCCTCAAGAAGAAGAATGGAGGGTAGTGGATGAATGTTTCATGGTCTCCTCGGCTTTACTGCAAATTAAAGCGCTGTCGTCGTTTGAATGAAAACGAAGGCTGGTGTGAGGACATCCATGCTTAACTTAGTTTTTGCCAAATTTCTTCTTGAGCTAGTTTGTTGGAGCACCTGCTGTGCACCCGGCTCTGCCCGCAGCAGGTGGCACGTTTGAGCAGCCTTGGGTTACCAGAGCCCATCCTCTGCACCGGCCTCACATCTGTGGGAGCAAAAACCCAGAAAAATTAGGTCCTCGAGATTACCGTCTAGAAAGAGGGAGACAAACTAGTTGCACCTCTCTCCATTCCAGTGGCTTTATTCGAGAAGGGAAATGACACTACATCTCAGGGGCTGCATGTCCTTCTGGGGCCTGGAGGGGGGCTCCAGGTTGTGCACACACGTTTTACCACCCAGCTTGTGAGAAAACTGAGTGTGGATTTTCCTGCCCGGCGGCACCCTCTGGGCAGACTCTGTGAAGCCCTTGCCCTCCCCTCACCTCACAGCCACCACGTCGGACCGGATCCCCGTCCCCACCAGTCTGTGCGGCTCTCTCCCTGTATTGATTCCTCGCTTGCTTGGGAGAGTAAGGACTTCTTAAATCTACCTCTAGTCAGAAAGTAGCTTTAGCAAATGGCAGGCATCTCTGTAGTTTTAATCAAGTAAAATCAGACCTGACTTAAGAGCAGCCAGAAACATGGCAGAGTTTGCCGTCATGCTCCCCACCCCACATTGAAGGGTCTAGGGCTTCCACGAGTAGGACTGCGCTGGACGTGTTCACAGTTTTCTCAGGAGACGTCGTGCCATAGGTTCCCCCAAGAGTCACTGGTTGGTGCTAGGGTATTCCACTGCAGGCACGTCTGAATCCCTCAGGCTTATTGCTACCCAGGCGTTCACGTTCAGGACGTGAAGCACAAGGTAGCTGGTTAAAGTATGAAAGCTTCTCAAGCATGGCTTATCTTTAAACTTTCTGTTTCGGTGTGTTTTTAGATTATAGAGGTCGGGACGGTAGTTCCCAGGAATTCTCTCCCCCTCACCTAGATCTCCCGGATGCTAACTCAAGCGTGATTTTTGAATCTTGGGGACCTGTTTCCATTCTTTCAAGTGCTTCCGGAGCAGACGTGCGACTACAGAGGGAGGCACACGGCGCTGAGGTGCAGGATGGCTGGGAAAAGGCCATCAGGACTGGGCAGGCAGCACTGGCTGCTGGGGCTGCTGATTGCGGTAGCCGCCGTCCACCTGGTCACCTGCCCCTACTCTAAAGTGGAAGAGAGCTTCAACCTGCAGGCTGTGCACGACCTGCTCTACCACCGGCTGGATGTGGGGCAGGTGAGCGCCCGCAGCCAGGACCTCCTGCGGCCCAGACTCCAGGCCTTGCTGACTTCCCTTCTCCCTGCAGTATGACCACCACACGTTCCCCGGTGTGGTCCCCAGGACTTTCCTTGGCCCAGTGGTGATGGCGGCGCTCTCCAGCCCGGCAGTGTATGTGCTTTCGCTGTTGGAAGCATCCAAGTTTTATTCTCAGCTCGTAGGTAAGGGGTCTTACATGAGGACAAAAGGAAGGATTGTAGTGAGATCAGGTGGTCTCAGTCAGCGAGGTCGAGGTTCCCTTCCCTGGGCGTGTCCATCTGTTGGAATCTCAGCTGTCTTTGGCTACTCAGCATGGCAGTCAGAGCGTTGGTTGGGTCAGACGGCCCTTTCCAGGATGGGACCTGGGAATGAGTGACAGAGCACCTCTTGCTTCCACCCTTTCGACTGGGAACGGAGGTGTGGGTGCCTCACCCCCCAGGCTGGTGCAGCAGGGGCAGAGTGGGCAGGGGTCACCAGCAGCCTCCCTGGAGACCCTGGTTCTCCAGGTGGCCCTGAGTTAGTGCAGCAGCTTGTCTGCATGGAGGCCTCATCCCCTGCCCAGAGGTCACCACTGGGCACTTTAGTGCAGGTCCTTCTGGGTCTCTCTTTGCCCATTTTAAAGTCAAATTTAGACCATTTTGTACATACTGAGCACAATCTTATTTTTTAGCCAACAAACCCCATTTTTCCATTTCAGTACATTTTTATTGCATCCATACCCAGATGGTACTCAGATTCCCTCAATTGTCCCACATATCCGTACAGCCTGGCCTGTCTGGAAAGCTTTAAAAACATACCAGTTTCTGAGGAGGAAGCAGCATTGCTCCTCGGAACGGCAGATCAGAAAATGGAAATTCAGTCACCCAGGGGCAGCGCCGTGTCGGAGCCCAGGCTGGAGAGCTGGGGGCCACGCCTGAGCACCGGCTGCCAGTAACCACGGCCATGGAGGCCACGGCCATGCGGCGGGGCCTGGTGTTAGTGCTGTGCTGGCCACACTGTTGTATGGACACTGCCTGCCCCGCCTGGTGGCTGTATCCCCAGATCCCACCTGCCTGGGGTCACAGGGTCACAGCAAGCTCTGGGGGCAGGGGTGGGGGCCGGCCGCCCACTGCCCATGCCCGTCCCTTTCTGATACCACAGACGACTCCCTCTCAGTGTTGTTTCGCTGCTGCCTGTCTGCTAACTCAGCACCGGGGGCACAGTTTCAGAGGCCGACTCGGCCATGTATCTGTCACACTGCTGGTCACACACATGTTGTCATCTGCTTAGTTAGAGCCGTCCTCGGACTCAGTGTGATTTTTGGAATCTGGACTTTACAAAAAGAAGTCAGACGGCAGTTTGGGACCACGGCAGCCACCATGTTCTGCTGGGTGACAGCCACGCAGTTCCACCTGATGTTCTACTGCACACGGACGCTCCCCAATGTGCTGGCCCTGCCCGTGGGTACGTAGCTGCCCGCGTGCTTGTGAGAGCCAGCGAAGTCCCCCTATGTCCCGGCTTGGCTTGGGGCACTCCTGCCAGGTCATAGGTGAGCGGGTGTCCGACCGAGGCGCTTCTGCCTGACGGACGCTGCTCCCTACTCGGTCTCAGAAGCGCCCAGCGGCAGGGGAGCCAGGGACCGCGAGCAGGGGCTCTGTTCTCGGTGCCTGGTTGAGATGCACTTTCCAGCAAAGGGCATGGGTGGGCATGCATGTTTCAGAGGCCGACTGGGAGGGCTTCCCTTGTGTAGGATCTGGAGTGACTGGGTTGAGCGAGGGTGGAGCTGGTCCTTGGACAGGGAGTGCAGGGCACACTGGCAGCTCTGTCCTGGTGTCCTGGGGTGCCCCAGGCAGAGTGGGGGCTGCTGTGCTCTGGGAGGCTCAGTGTAAGTAGGCGGGGAGGCCATGGACAGTGCAGGTCTGGGGGGATCTGTGCCTACCAAGGCAGAGGTGTGCCAGACCTCACATGCCCAGCAGGAGCCTACAGGGCGTGCTGAGCGCCCAGGTGCACAGGGAGGAGTGGGGTGGCCCAGGCAGCCCCAGCGAGCAGCCTGAGGTGCTGGGGGAGACCTGGGACAGGCTGCTGGCCATGGGGAGCCAGGTGCGTGGGTCTGCAGGAGCACCCTGGGGCCCTGCTGCGAGTCGGCGGCCTCGCTCATGCCTGTCTTGCAGTCCTGGTGGCCCTCACAGCCTGGCTGCAGCATAAATGGGCCCGCTTCATCCGGCTCTCAGCGTTCGCCATCCTGGTCTTCCGAGCCGAGCTGAGCCTGTACCTGGGCCTGCCACTGCTGCTGGCACTGCGCACCAGGAGGCTGTCTGTGTTGGCGGCCCTGCGCTGTGCTGTGCCGGCCGGGGCCCTCTGCTTGGGTGAGTCGGAACTGCCGTGGCCACAGTGGCCATGCTGTCTTGTTCTTGAGATGGCATTTGAGCGGGTTTGGTTTTAACACTCACAGCATCAGCACTCTGCGTGGCAGCTCCCCTGGCCCTGCTGTCCCCTTGTCCAGACCTTCCGTGGGCTTCTTCCTGGGCCCTGCCGGTGGGGCAGCCAGTCCCCACGCCTGGCCCAGGGGGGACTGAGGAGCAGAGGCCTGGCATGGCAGCGTCTCCTATGAAGTTGCTGGTGTCTAGCGGTTTCTGTGCTGCCGGGGCTGCTTTGTGGGACGTTTCCCATGAGGGCGAGGCTTCCGGCGTGGTAGCTGCCCCGGCAGCAGGGAGGTCTTCCCTTGGGGCCGTGTGCTTCCCCGAGGAACTTGGTTCCGCTTTTTTCTGTTTTACTAGGCCTGACAGTCGCGGTGGACTCCTATTTTTGGCGGTATCTTGTATGGCCGGAAGGAAAGGTGCTTTGGTACAACATCGTCCTGAACAAAAGTTCCAACTGGGGGGTATCCTTCAAGTGTCTGTGAGGTGGCCTGGGGCAGACCAGGTGGGATTCGCGTAGCAGCTTTCCCGGCTGCCCACACCTGATGGGAGTGCATGTAGGGACCCACGGGGGGAGAGGGCACAGAAGGGGTGTTGCACAGGGCGGCGTGACCTCTGGGTAGTGCTCCAGATGGTAGGCCGCCGCACGGCCTGCTCACCGGCACTTGCCCTGATGCTGGCGCCAGCGCCTGAGTCCTGGCCCGCTGGCGGAAAGGCATCTGCGCGCCCACCAGAGGCCCGGGGGCCATGTCGTGTGCCCGCCCAGCTAACTGCCAGCACGGCCCGAGCGCTCAAGTGGCTCACAGACTCGTGGACTCCTTGACCCACTCCCAAGACCGCCCCGCTGCTGTGGTACTTCTACTCGGCCCTGCCCCGCGGCCTGGGCTGCAGCCTGCTCTTCGTGCCCCTGGGCCTTGTGGACAGGCGGGCCCTCCCCCTGCTGCTGGCCTCGCTGGGCTTTGTGGCCCTGTACTCCCTGCTGCCACACAAGGAGCTGCGCTTCATCATCTACGTCCTCCCCGTGCTTGACATCGTGGCCGCCAGGGGCTGCGCCTCCCTGTGAGTGCCTCTGGGAGCGCTGCCTGCCAGGGCTCGTGCACACGGGTCTCCTGGTTCCTAAGGGGGATGACTTCCCAGGTGCACCGGTGTATCTAACCGGGTGCCCGTGTCAAGGAAGGGCTCCTGGCCGTCTCCACAGCAGTGGCTGCTGGGCTAAGGCCAGGACGGGATCAGCCATGTGCCAACCAATGGCTCCACTTGGTTGGCCTCTGTCCTCGGTTAATCGGACGCACATCTCAGGCCATTATGCTCACACTGTGCTGACCATGCAGGGCCGGGTCACTCGGGTGTGGACACTTAGGAGGTAGCCAAGTGCAGGTGGCCGGGGACTCGGGGCAGTTCCATGGGGTCAGCGTAGGATGGAGGACAGCCAGAGGAAAGGGAGGCTCAGGAAGTGCCTTCAGCCTGTGTGGGGGCAGGGAGATGACCCACAGCAGAGCTAAGGTGGGGTGGGCGGCCCCTGAGGGGTTTGCTGGGCTGCGGGCGGGGCCATCTGCGGGGCCATCACTCAGCCTGCGGTGGGACAGGAGGCTGACAGCGGCTCTCGGCTGGGCTGGGGCACGGGCGCAGCTAGGACAGAAAGGCCCTGTGACCCGGCCCCTGCGAGTGGCCCCCCTGGGGCCAGGATGGGTCAGGCTGTCCCCTGTGTTCTCACCTTCCAAAGAGCGCCCGTTAAGGGCAGCGGTGGCCTGTCCCTGCACTGCCTCTCGGTGCTGCTGCCTCTGGCCTGGGCTTCTCCTTATCGGGCTCAGCGTGCTGCGGGGTGTTGGCCCTGACCTGAGGCAGCCACAGGGGCCAACAGGGAGGAGGACCTTGTTCACGGAAATGCCAGCTAGGTCAGCACTGGCTCGGGGGGTGAGGGTGGCTAGGGCAGGGAGGGCAGGGGTCCTGCATGAGCACAGCCCAGAGCCCTTACCCTCCGGGGGGCACCCTTCTGGCAGGCAGCCATAATGTGTACTGGACCCTTTGCTGCTGCAGTGACCAGGGACCTGAGCTAGCATGACCCCCCCACCCGGCATGCTGGCATTTCAGACGGCCCCCAGGCCCAGAGGAAAGATTTGGGTGTGGAGTTGCACCCCCAAGGGCAGAGGAGGGGTCCATAATCGCAGGCTCTCTGAAGTCACCGCTCGTGGAATGCCAGCAGCCCCGTGCCCACCCAATGTTCTGGCCGGAACATGCAACAGATCTCCCGGCCGCCTGGAGCTTTCTCAGGCAGGCCCTTAACGGTCGGGGCTACCCTAAGGGTGTGGCCTGGAGGCTTGTGAAGATACTAGAGTTTGCTCCAGCCTCTCAGTGGGGTGGGTGACATCCTTTGTGCGGAGGGTCTTCAGTCCTCAGAGGCCAAGGCCAAGGCCTAGTTGAGCAGGGCCTGACCCGGATGTACAGGCCAGCAGACCTTTCTGTGAAGGACCAGATAGTCAATTTTCTTGCCTCTGTGGGCCTCACAGTTTTAGCATCCAGCTCTTCCTCTGAGGCATAGCAGCAGCCATGTCTCCTCGGCTTCATTTATGAACCAGACAGCGCTTGGGATTTGTGCTCTAATAACATGGGATGCTCAGGGATCTAATACAGCCTCTAAATTGGCATCTCAGTGGATGCCAGTCTAGAATGGAGAGTCTTCCAGGTGGCCTTCCACCCGCCGTCCCTCGTGATGTGTCTGTCTGGAGATGAGCTCTTGTTGTGACTTGGTGAGCGGCAGGTCCTGTTCCCGATGATGTGTTTTTCCCTTTATTGTTCCTGTACCCTTTTTGTGAAACATGCTACTCTTTTCCAGGCTGAACAATTACAAGAAGTCTTGGCTGTATAAAGTGGGGTCCTTCCTTGTGATAGGACACCTCGTGGTGAATACCATGTACTCGGCCACAGCCCTGTATGTGTCCCACTTCAACTATCCTGGTGGTGTGGCGATGCAGCGGCTGCACGAGCTGGTGCCCCCCTCAACAGGTGGGTGCCCAGGGCTGCGCCCGGACCAGCTGCAGCTATGCACAGAGGCACCCGCCTCGTGGCTTTAGCTGAGAAGACGTGGTTTTCCACAGACGTCATGCTACACATCGATGTGGCTGCCGCGCAGACAGGCGTGTCTCGGTTCTTGGAGGTCAATGTTGCCTGGAGGTATGTTCTCACCCTGCCGTGGCCTCAGGTGCTGGCACCCATCCCGGAGGCCGCACCAGCTCCCTGTGCACACCAGGGGCCGGGAACAGTGGCCGCGCTCTCTTGCAGATACGAAAAGCGGGAAGATGTGGAGCCGGGGTCAGGGCACATGCTGACCTACACACACCTCCTCGTGGAGGCGGCCCCCGCACGGCTGGCCCTCTACAGGGACACACACCGGGTCTTGGCCAGCATCGCGGGCACCACTGGGGTGAGTCTGAACCTGACCAAGCTGCCTCCCTTTGACATCACCCTGCAGACAAAACTGGTGCTTCTGGAGAGACTCCCCATGCCTTCCTAAGGAAGAGGGTCCAGAGTTCTTCTCTGAACCCTGGGGGGCTCCGCCAGCATCCTGACACAAAGGACAGAGAAGCAAGGGCCGCGGGCTCACCCCTCCCACAGGCCCAGCCAGAGCCACACCCTGTACACAGGCCCTGCAGCCCGGGGTGCTGTGTGATGCCGTCTGTCGTCCAGACTGAGTGCTGTTGACAGCAGTGGGGGCAGCAGGCTCATCCCCTGGGTCTGCTCTTGGGCACAGCAACACTGGCGCTCCTGGCCTCTGGGGGCACCTAACAGCACTCCCTCAGGGAAGCAGTGCATCTCTGAGGGTGGACATGTGGAACCATGGTGTTCGGAGTTATAGGACACATCCTTTGTGGTCACAGGCCCTGCCTTTCATTTCAGATGCAATTTTAAGAGATAAATGTGTTCAGAAAGGAATGGGAATAAACATTTTTAAATGTTCCAATGTTCCTTATTAGTGATCTTAGGATACATGGTATTTCCAGAGACTGCCTGCACTTAGATTTCATTTTTCAGTGATAATTTTGGCCCTTTTACACCACTGAGTAAGCATTAAGTACCCAAAGTGCATCTGACACCACCACGCACTGAAAACGAAGCAGAGAACTGGGTGCCACTGCACACTTACCACGCAGCACGAATGCGCATGCCACATGTGCACACCATGCACATAGCCCTGTGCATGTGCACCTGTGCACAGCATGCATACCACACAGGTGCACCATGCCCACATACTACATGCACACATGTGGCGTGCACATGGACACACATGCCTAAAGACTGCCATTTGAGAGTGAGTTCCTTACATTATGGCCTTGACCCCTGAGCCTCAGTGTGTCCTAGGAAGGTGGTGAGGGCCTTTGCCACGTGGTACTTACTAATTTTTCAATCGCAATGGACAGCGGTGTGCAGACACCTTCAGACTAGGAGCGCCTCCCGCTCTCCTGGTCAGCACCCACTGGAGATCCTGCCTGGGCCCCTTGGCAATGGGCAGGTGGTATGTCCAAGTTCCACCTTCCCCCACTTAGCTCAGCACAGTGCTTATTCGCCTATTACCTATTAAGTGAGCATTTATTGCTTGTTTATAACTTACAGGTATTCACGTACTTGTCATTGACTGGGAGTGGCTTGCTGCTTGGACCTCAAGGGTCTGTGGGTCATTCCTGTCTGATCTTGTTGTGAAAATTGTACAAGATTTACCCGAGGAGGTTGGCTGCTCTGTCCTGTGACATGCCTCTGCACTGGTAATTCTTGAAGCATTTCTCTACCACTGGCACCAGGTGGCCAGCCCAGGATCCTCTTAGGGCTGTCTGTCCATCCCTGGAATCAGCCGTTTCTCTGAGGAGTCCTGCTTCCTATTGGTGGGGGCTGGTTTTAGAGACCAAGATCTGGGTGTGAAGTGTGCTCATTGCCTCTGGGATATCTGCCTTCTGGCCCTTTCTGTTCACAGAACTAGAGAGGATAGCATGCCTGCCTGCCCTTCCCCCCTACACGGGCATGCTCACATGCACACGTGGAAGCACGGTGCTGATACCTCTGGGTCCACCTCTGCTCCATGAACTTCTCTTTGCTTCCCTCACTCCACATTGTAGGTCCCATCTTCAAGTGAGAAATCCTGACCACAGCAATATCAATGTATCTGTTCAAAATGTAAACAGTTTCAGAATTGCTTTGCCATATGACTGCAGAAAACAAACCCACTAAAATGAGGTTAACATTTGTTTGCATTCTTCAAACCCTTCCCCATGATTGGAGATTTATAGTAAAATCCTGTTTATATATTCCTTGGCTTAGCCCTCACCCTTCAGTGTAGTATGTTGTCCATTTGAAATGCAGTTGGGTTCACTCACTTCTTTCCATTTGCTTCCAGTCTTAAGATCCTTCTTCCCATCCTTTATAATTAATAGGACATCATATGCTTCTAGAAATCAGAGTGATTCATAAAGCACGCTCAGGAAAGTTGTCCCTCCTGTCTGTGTTCATGTTTCCTAACTACCGTCACTGTGTTCTGGATTATCTTCCATGTCTCTCTTTGTAAAATAAGCAAATACCTGTATACTTTACTTCCCCTTCTTGATTACACAAAAGCTGGCAGCCCACATGTGCTGTTGCACTTTCTGGAATGTCTGGAAATCGCTTATTATTTTCACATTTATCAGTCTTTTCTTAACCTGCATTATAGTAGGAAGCTTTTTCCGCTCAGGAACTCAGCCATGTTTTCTTTTCAGTACCTGTAAGGTTTTGTTACTGCATAAAGACCTCTGATCCTTTAAAATTATTGCATACAGTGTGAGGAGTGGGCCTATTTTATCTTTTTCCAAATGACTGTCCACTTATTAAAGGTCCATCTTTGTCTCAGAGAATTGAAGTTACAAACTGAACTTCTGCATTTCAAGTTTTGGCAATTACGAATAATCCTGCTATAAATATCTGTGCAGGCTTTTGTGTGGACAGAAGTTAACTCCTTTGAGTAAATACCATGTGTGATTGCTGATTGTATGATAAGAATATGTTTAGTTCTGTAAGAAACCTTCAAACTGTCTTCCAAGGTGCTGTACCACTTTGCATTCCCACCAGCAATGACTGCTCGTCCTTGCCAGCACTTGGTGTTGTCGGTGTTCTAGATTCTGGCCTTTCTAAAAAGTGTGTAGTAATATCTCATTGTTTTAATTTGCATTTTTCCTGATGACATGATGTGGAGCGTATTTTCCTGTGCTTATTTGCCATCTGTACATCTTTGGTGAGGTGTCTGTTAAGGCGTTTAAGCCCATTTATCAATCAGATTGTTCCCTGTTGAGTTTTAAGAGTTCTTTGTATGTTTTAAGTAACAGTCCTTTAGCAGATGTGTTTTTTGCAAATGTTTTCACCTAGTCTGTCACTTCTCTTCTCATTCTCTTGACAGTGTCCTTTACAGGGTGGTAACTCTAGCTGCCAATTCTTTCTTGCATGGATTGTGCCTGGGGTGTTATATCTAAAATATCATCTCCATACCCAAGATCATCTAGGTTTTCTCCTGCGTTATCTTCTCGATCTTCATAGTTTTTCACTTTACATTTAGGTCTATGAACTATTTTGAGTTAATTTCTGTGAAGGGTGTAAGGTCTGTGTCTAGGTTCTTCTTATTGGCAGGCGGATGTCCGGTTGTTCCTGTTCTACTTGCCGAAGAGACTGTTCGGTCCCTTTCACTGCCTCTGCCCCTTTGCCAAAGACCACGGTGTTGATCATATTCATGTGGGCCCTTCTGGGCTCTCTAGTCCCTTCCATGGGTCTCTTTGCCTGTTCTTTTGCCAAAGCACAGTGTCTTGATTACTGTAGCTTTAGAGTAAGGATTGAAGTTGGGTAATAACAGTCCTCCAATGTGGTTCTTCAATTTTGTGTTGGTCGTTCCAAGTCTCTTGCCTTCCATATAAACTTCGGAATTGGGTTTGTCAATATCCACAAAATAACTTGTTAGGATTTTAGTCGGGATTGCATTGAGTATAGATAAAGTTGGGAAGAACTGACATCTTGGCAATATTGAGTCTTCCTATCAATGAACATGGGATATCTCTCCATTTACTTAGTTCTTTGAATTAACTCATCAGAGTTTGTTCTTTTTCTCATGTAAGTCTTCTACAAACTTTGTTATATTTACATCTAAGTATTTCCCTTTTGGAGTGCTAAGGAAAATGGTAATTTGTTTTTAATTTCAAATTCCCCGTGTTCATTGCTGGTATATAGGAAAGCAGTTAACCTTTGTGTATTAACCATGTGTCCTGCAACCTTGCTACAATTGCTTATTAGTTCTGGAGTTTGTCAGTTCTTTCGGTCTTTCTGCACAGACATACACATTTTCCTGCAAACAAGAGTAGTTTTATTTTTCCCTCCTCACTCAGTATACATTTCATTTCCTTCCCTTGTCATATTGCATTAACTAGAATTTCCAGTTCAGTGTTGAAAAGGAGTGTTGAGAGGGGATATAAGCCTTGTTCTGATCTTAGTGGAAAAGCTGCAAGTTTCTCACCATTAAGTGTAATGTTAGCTGTAAGCTTTTTGTAGATGTATTTTTTTATCAAGTTGTAGAAGTTCCCTCTATTCCTAGTTTTCTGAGTGTTTTTTCATGAAGAGGTTTGGATTTTGTTTAATGCTTTTTCTGCAACTATTGTTATGATCATGTGATTTTTCTTTTTTAGCCTGTTGATCTGATTGATTATATTAATGATGTTTATAACTGAATGAATCCATACCTGGGATAAATCCCATTTGGTCATGGTTTCTAATTCTTTTTTTAATTTTTTAATTTATTTACTTTATTTTAATTTTGTTGTCATTAATCTACAATTACATGAAGAACATTATGTTTACTAGGGTCCCCCTTCACCAGGTCCCCCACCCCCACCCCATTACAGTCACTGTCCATCAGCATAGTAAGATGCTGTAGAATCACTACTTGTCTTCTCTGCCTTGTACAGCCCTTCCCACTCCCCACACACACACATTATACATGCTAATCATAATGCCCCCTTTCTTCTTACCCACCCTTGTCCCTCCCTTCTCTCCCATTCTCCCCAGTCCCTTTCCCTTTGGTAACTGTAAGTCCATTCTTGGGTTCTGTGATTCTGCTGCTGTTTTGTTCCTTCAGTTTTCCTTTGTTCTTATGCTCCACATATGAGTAAAATCATTTGCATAATACCCTCCAGCTCCATCCATGTTGTTGCAAATGGTAGGATTTGTTTTCTTCTTATGGCTGAGTAATATTCCATTGTGTATATGTACCACATCTTCTGTATCCATTCATCTACTGATGGACACTTAGGTTGCTTCCATTTCTTGGCTATTGTAAATAGGGCTGCGATAAACATAGGGGTGCATCTGTCTTTTTCAAACTGGGCTGCTGCATTCTTAGGGCAAATTCCTAGAAGTGGAATTCCTGGGTCAAATGGTTTGTCTATTTTGAGCATTTTGAGGAACCTCCATACTGCTTTCCACAGTGGTTGAACTAATTCTTTTTATAAGTTGTTGGATTTGATTTGCTAATATTTTGTTGAGAATTTTTGCGTCTATGTTTGAGACAGATTTTGGTATGTAGTTTTCTTTTCTTGTGATGTCTTTGGTTTTGGTAGTAAGTGTAATGCTGGCCTCATAGAATGAGTAAGAAAATATTTTCTCTACTTCTATCCTCTGAAACAGATGTAGAAAATTACTGTAATTTCTCCTTAGATGTTTGGTAGAATTGACCAGTTAACCCATCTGTACCTGGTGCTGTTTTAGAAGGTTATTAATTCTTGATTCAATTTCTTTAACAGATACAGGCCTATTCAGAGGATCTATTCTTCATGTGGGACTTTTGGTACATTATGTTTCTTGAAACAGATTGGTGTGTTTCATCCAGTTTATGGACTTTGTGTGCAGAGAGATGTTCCCAGTATTCCTTTATCTGTTTAATATCATTAGGGTCTGTAG